ACATGAAAAGGAACTATAACTACAATAGTTGGCGGAGGAGAAAGTGAAGTATCCCAATACATCAACTGTGAAGGTGTTGGAGCTTTAACGTGCACCACATGCCAAGGAAGTGGCATTCAGCCACGTTATCTTGATCGAAGAGAGTTCAAGGACAATGATTGAAATCTATCAACTAAATAAGGTATGAAGAGCTCCATGAATGACACTATGATAGTTATTTAAGATATTTTGACATTATTTGTTGGGTTTGATGTGCCCTATAGCTACTGTGACTACGTGGAATCCCAACTTGCCTTAATGCCATTACTCATTCAATTTTGTATAATTTTTATGTATATGTGGTACAGCAACGGTTACCAAATCGTGTTAGGGTGAGAATAATATCTATGTTTTGTAACCATTGTTTTATGTTAAATGTGTTGAAAATAGGAAATTTAGCTAAAAAATAAAAACAAGGGTTGTCACTAAAACTCTTCTTTGAAATCAGAGAATTAATAAAAGAAGTAAATTTTCTTCATCATGCAAGTTTTACATACGATTAATATCTTTCACTATTGGCAGATCCATAACATTATGGGAGATGCGAAATGGAAGAAGCCAATAATTTGTTTTAGGTTAAGTTCTGATTTTCTTCTTTAAAATTCATTTCCCTTCCTAAGAATTTCCAATCTTAGATATTGCGGTTATCGTGGATTGCACATGCACCTCGCTGGTTATGTTTTTTTTTTTCTAGGATAATATTTGATTTAGTGATGAAAAGCTAGGTAGTTGCAATAAATTATCTGTTTCAATCTTTTTTTTCAATTTGTTGACAAATCTTGTGCCAGATTTTCCCTATCATCACATGCACCATTATATCTTGGGAGCAACTAATTATGTTAGGGTTCAAAGCTTAACTCCACTTTGTACGAGTTTTTTTATTTTTTACTTCATAAACGTTCTTCATCGTTAATTTATAAATTAGAAAGAATTGACCTGGTCTTTAATTGATTAAGGTTTTTTGTAGATATATATCCTATTAATTGATTAAGGCATCAAAGCTTAACTTATTATAGTTTCATGCTTTTCATTCATGAAATTCTTACATCATTGCCTGTTTGTTCAATCAATGCTTGACATAACTAATCTCTCAATTGTTATATATTATCCAGTTACTCTTAAATTTTTTTATTTTGACATCTTTGTGTAAGTAATGATGTCACTCTTATTTATTTTTTTTTTTTATGAAATGGGCTTATCCTAATTAGAAATTTCTTTGATGCTTTATTATTTTGTTTATAGTTGCTTCATGTTAATGGAGGCTGATTGCACTTTTTGGTACATTTAGATTCCTCACTTGAGACCAACTAAGTACAAGAGAAGTAGATTAGCAAGGACTCGCAAGATAGTTCATTTATGCCTCTACTCTTTCAACATCAAATATTACGTAATGAATTTGTCTATGTTATTTTAATTGATATATTACAACAATCAAGCATCTTTTTATATATGGTTTAACATTTAAGAAATTATTTTTCTTATATTATTTTATTCCTGCTCCCTAAACTTTTTATTCCTTGTAGTACTTCAATTTTATTGAAATTTTACTATGTATTTTAAAAGATCAACAAATTTGTTTGACATCCTTTCTACTTATTCTATTTGTTTTCGCTATCAGTTTGATAACTGATCTCCAAGGAAATATTTCTATCCATATCGTTCTTATTCTCTGAGGACAAATGTGTCCTACGCTGTTTATCTATTTATGGATGCAATAAGTTATCAACTGAATTGTACACTTCTGAGAACAATTCTATTATTTCCATCGCTTCTCAAAATCCTGGTTTTATATATAGGTAGTAAATGCTTAAATCCAAGGAGCATCTATATATAGTTATTACTATTTTTCATTGTATTTATTCATTGTTGCTTTCCTGATAAGTTTACACTGTTGTAGATAATGCTATATGTGCGACTTTATTTTTTTAATGACTAATGTAATATTCTAATGGATATTATATCGATGTCAAAAATATCAATCGATTAGGACACCATGCATTACACATTAACACAAGTTTTCACTTCATCTAACACACTTCTAATGAGTATATCTGAAAAATAATATAAGAATATATGCCTATTTATTATGTATAAACCATATGTAAATATACAATTATTACATGTAATATTCATAAAGTATTTAATATCATCATATGGCATATCATAAATTAATTTTAAATTTTATAATATCATTTTCTTAGTTTTTAAAAGTTTTATTTACGTGCACCATGTGCACGTGCATTTATACTAGTATTATAAAAGCTTCTTGAATTTCCTTTCACATTAAATATTGACTATTAATTTTTTTGTTCTAAAATTATCTTATCCCTTCATTGTATTATAAATAATTAATAAATATAAAAATATATAATAATTATACAAATTAATATCCATTACCACAAAATTACTGCCGCTTAAATCTATATTACTATTTTAAAAACTGCTTGAATTTTCATCTATACCAAATTCTGCACAATTTCCCGTATCGAATTTCTGAGTTTCGTGATTGGGTATTCACGATTCGTCTCACTTCAACTTAAATGCATAGTAATTAATCTTCATTTGACCCAATTAATAGCCGTTAACCTTCCTTATATATTCGTGCATGACTCATTTTGTCTTCAGCTTTTCCTAACATCATTCATCTTCCCGCCGTCCTTTGATAGGTCTCTCTTCTTCAATTATAGGCCTCTTCAACTTAAGTCATAACTGCTTTGCTTACCTTCATCTTAACTTTCCAATGGGTATACGATTATACAGTAATTATAGCTCTTACGATTTCACTTTACCCTGTTCAACTTCTCGCCTTCTCGGTAAGCTTTCTTCGCTCTACGGGGTATGTACTGCTCTTATCCAACACATCCCACACTCTTCATCTACTTCGTTGGAAGGTGAAACATCGAACATGCTGAACTCTTAAATCCAATGGACACCTTAATACCAGGTAATCCGGTACACAACGGTACATAGTACCAGCACACCAAAAAAAATGATGTGGCGCACTCTGATTTGTCTCCGGAGGCCGTCTGCTGACCGCATAGAATAATTTTTCCTAAGTATGAGGAAGTGGTTGCGCCATTGCTTATTCCTCTTTAAACAAATTTTTAATTACTTAGATAAACATAATATAACCTAACATCGAAAGTTTTATATTTCATTTTGATTTCTATGATCCAATAATAAAATTTATCTTCATTACACCATAACACTTAAATCATGAGATCTCATCTCAACTCATGTTGATGCTTTTGCAAGCCGTCGGTTTCACTATCGTTTCCACCTTCGCACAACGTTGATCTCATCACCTTCGTCGCACACGTTGACCATAGAAGAATGTAAGCAAGATGCAATGGAGTTTGTTATGGCAAAGAAAAGGAAGTCAGGATGGAGCTCAATGATAAGACGTCAGTTGAACGAAAAATTATTATATCCGGTGAAAATACCGTGTACCGAGTGCTGTTCCGAGCATGGTACCGAGCACTATAGTGCCGTGGCGTTTTGTTATTGGTCTCTAGATGCATTCGGTGTCCGGACAGAATAATTACTCTAGTTGAACCGGTATAGGAAGTTGTGGTCAGGGGCGGATCTACCTAAAGCCTATTCAGCTTTACCCTATTCAACTTCTCCATAAGCTTTCTTCGCTCTACGCGGTATTTACTGCTTCGCTCTACGGGGTATTTACTGCTCTTATCCAACGCATCCCAAAATTTACTTTAAAGCAGCAAAAATATAGTGGCTAAATAGAAATTATGATTGTAGCCTAAAAGAAAAGAATAAGAAAGTTGTCCCAAATGTCGGCTAAATTTAGCTTAACCCGCTAATTTAGGAATATGATTATCTTTTTACAAAAAGAATTTAAGCAACATTTATTTTTTCTATTTATTTCTCGTCATTTAGATTTTATTTGGGACGACTTTCTCAATGATTCTCGTCATTTATATTCATTTTTTATTAGGAGGTTGTGTCATTATTTGGATACAGTAATAATGATGAAAATTAATATGAGAGGTTTTAATGTAGTGGTACGATAATGTAATTTTCTTTAATTTGAATATAATTTATAATTAAAACATAATTTTTAAAAATATTCAAATACTTAAAAGGTTGTGTTCAATTTATTAAAATATTTTTTAAAATAAAAAAGTTAAATTTTTATGTGAATATTCATTTTTAATATTATTTATATAATAAAATAAAAAAAGTAATAATAATTTTTTAGGTAATTTGTCCCCCGCCATCTATTTCTTTCATTGTGTAGATGTGTTATTGTTAGGGAGCCATGAACCAAATACATAGAGAATTAGTAAAGAGAATAAAAAAAATATGTCCTTACAACCAAATATTGCTCCGGGGCACTGCCCCCTTAAACCCGACAAATTATTGCGTCCGGTGTCCGGATTCATCCGGACACCAATCCGGTGTCACCACGTCACCAAAATACACCGGGACCCAGTATATTTAGGTGACGTGGCGTCACCGGATTGGATGTTCGAACATCCGGTGACCGGACGCAATAATTCGCCCTTAGAATATATGCAAAATCTCTACATCTGTACTTATTAATTTGAACTACTGTGAAAAATGTGGTTGTGAAGCTACGGTGAAATTTTTTTTTTTTAAATGTGGTTGTCAAGCTATTGTGAAAAAAAATAACTTTTTTAAAATTTATTGTAGAGAACTGTTTTCAATTACAAAATTTACTTCAAAGCAACAAAATTACAGCCGCTAAATAAAAATTATGATTGTAGTCTAAAAGAAAAAAAGTAAAAAAGTTGTCTCAAATGTCAGGTAAATCTAACTTAACCCGCTAATTTTGGAATCTGATTCTCTAATTAATAAAAGAATTTAAGCAACATTTATTTTGCTTAATAATTTCTCTTCATTTAGGTTTTGTTTGAGAGGGTTTTCTTACTACTTTTTAAAATAGTCTTTAAAATTTTCGTACTAAAAAACTATTTTAAGAAGAAATAAAAAACTGTCATAAACAAAGCAATAATTACAATTGTGATTCAACTACTTACTTGAAGACACTAATAATAATCAAAATTGATATCATCATGTGGTCCATTATATATTAAAATGGCAAGCTTCATAGAGAAACAGAGAGCTCAGCTATGGAAGAAGAAAATGGCAAGCTTCATATTGTGATGGTGCCTTGGTTGGCCATGGGCCATCTCTTTCCTTTCTTCGAGCTTTCCAAATCCCTCGCTCTTAAAGGTCTCCAGATCTCCTTTTTCACCACCCCCTCCACCATCCATCGCCTTCCTTCGATCCCCAAAACCCTAACCCCTTTCTTCAAATTCATTCCCTTCTCACCATCTGGCACGAACATTGAGAACACTTCAGATCTCCACTCTGATGAAGGCCAACTCCTTTTTCAAGCATACGCCGCCTTAGAGCACCGCCTCATCGCCTTCCTCTCCGACCCTTCTTACGGAAAACCAAATTGGATCATCTACGACTTCCCTGCCATAAGTTGGGCTCCAGCACTAGCTTCCCGCTTTAGCATGAACTCCGCTTTTTTCAGCATCTTCAGCGCCGCTGCAATCGCAGTTTTAGATCATTACGCGAAACACGATTCGTTAAAAACACTTACAACTGCGTCGGATATCATCCCCTTCCCAACCACAGTGGCCCTCCGCCGATTCGAGGCAATCCAGATTCGCCCCTTTCTTCCAAAAGAAAAAAAAAGACGAACCAACGAATTCATGCTTAGCAGAACATTTAGGGAGTTTGAGGGCAAATGGATCGATTTGCTTGGTGAAAATTGTATCCCTGTGGGGTTCCTCCCTTCATCTATTGACGAGGAGGAGAGTGAGACATGGATGAGAATATCCAAATGGCTTGATGAGCAAAAGGAACAATCGGTGATCTATGTTGCTTTTGGATCTGAGGCGATTCTTACGAGAGAGCAGATTGATGAGATCGCATTAGGGTTGGAGAAGAGTGATTTACCGTTCCTCTGGGTTTTGCGGGTGGGATTGCCGCCGGAGGGATTTGTCGAGAGGATTGGTGAGAGAGGGCTAGTGTGGATGGGTTGGGTTCCCCAGTCCCGATTGCTTGCCCATCGGGCTATCGGCGGGTTTCTGACACATGGTGGGTGGAGCTCTGTTGTGGAAGGGATGGTGGTTGGGGCGGCGATGGCGGTTTTGCCGATGAAATATGAACAAGGACTGACCGCAAGACATTTGGTGGAGAGTGGTTACGCGGTGGAAATAGTGAGAAATGATGAAGATGGTTACTTTTCTGCGGTGGAGATTGTGAGGAAGTTGAGGATTTTGATGGTGGAGGAGGAAGGAGAGGAGGTGAGGAAGAAAGCAAGAGCAGGGAAAGAGATTTTTGGGAGTAAGAAGCTTCAGGAGGAGTATATCACTGAGCTTGTGAAAGCCCTTTGGCAGAAACATCAGATGGCAAACAAGCCAATTTGAGTCGGTAATTATGCATTTTGGAGACCTTCTGCTAGTGAGAGTGGAGCTAATGACGTAAGTTCTTTGGCACATTAAAAATCTTAATTTTAATGATTTTCATTAAGTGAAGTATTGTGTGTGTGGAGAAATTATTCTGTGTGGAGTCCAGACAGCAAGAACTGTCCAGATTCTGAGTTTACACACAGTGTGTACAAATTTTTGTACACACTGTTTACAAATATGTACGCTCACATATTCAAATAATTCTTTATATTCGTACTTCACACAGAATAATTTCTCATGTGTACTTGTCTTTGATGTTTTCAATTTGTCCCTAAGTTGAAGCTTTATTGAATTGTTGAAGTGTCATGTTTGTTTGTAGCAAGTGACTATTTATATAATTATATGTTTTATTGGAGCAAAACTTACATGGTATTTATTTTTTTAATTATTTTTCCTATTGTTTTTATAAATAATTTTTAAAAATATTTTTATTTTAAATTATTTATAAAGCAAAATGAGCTTAATTAAAAAAAAAAATTGGAGAAGGAGCAAATACGCGTGATTAATTTATCGTATTCAAGATTACAAAAATTAAATTTATGTATTCAATTATGTGTTTATTTAATTTTAAAATATGAATGAGTAATATAGGTAATATTATGATTCAATTAAAAGATAATAAAATTTTTAGGAAATTTATAGAATATATTTCCTGCTTAAATTTTAATGATGTGGTACGATAATGTAATTTTCTTTTTATTTATTTTTTAAATTTGAACATAATTTATAATTAAAATATAATTTTTAAAATTATTCAAATACTTAAAAGGTTGTCTTCAATTTATAAAAAAAAATTTAAAATAAAAAAGAGTTCAATTTTTATGTGAATATTCATTTTTAATATTATCAATATATAATATTAACAATTATCATATTAATGAGAGTATCTCGCGATGATTGCAAGACCCATCACCCATGGCTTTGATGGGTGGGGGTAAAGAATGTACCCTTATGGTTTAAGTATGGAGAAACTATTATGTGCGATCACTGGACCGTTTATAGGTAAATCAGAGCGCGCCATGTAATCTTGTACATAGCACCGATACACAATAAAAAAGTGACATGGCGTGCTCTGCTTTGCCTCCAGACGCCGTTCGGTGACCGTACAGAATAATTTTTCCAAAGTATGAGGAAGTAGTTGCTCCATTGCTTATTTTTCTTTAAACAATTTTTTAATTATTTAGATAAACATAATATAACCAAACATCCAAAGTTTTATATTTTATTTTTATTTTTTTGATCTAGTAATAAAATTTATCTTCGCCACATTAGAACATTTAAATCATGAGATCTCATCTCAACTCATGTTGATCCTTTTGCAAGCCTTCGATCCATTATCGTTTAGGGTCTGTTTTGGATGGCTACAGCTCTTTGTAAAGATAGTTGTCAAGCTGCTGTGAAAAAAAAAACCTTTTTTTAAATTTACTAGTATAAATGCACGAAAAAATTTTTAAAATATAAGAAATATAAAATTAAAAATTAAAAATAATTTATAATAGGCTATACCAATTATATCTAATAAAATATGCGTGCAAATGATGCACGTGAATAAAATTTTAAAAAATAAAAAAAATATTAGATTGCTAAATTTGCATTTATACTATTCTTTGATGAAAAGATAAAATTATTAGTTTTATTTTTTTAAATAATAATATTTATTAATTATCTTAGTGGAAAGTTATAGATATTAATTTTATATAATAATTGTGTAAATTTTATAATTATTTATTGTTGCTCATTTTATAAAATTAATCAGGTTATACAATAAGCATCTATTTTAAACAAAAAACTAAACAGTATCATTTTTATTTGATCGTCTTCACAATGATTAACTTTGTCCTAACTATTTGACGTTATGTTGATATATTGATGCTTAGATTTAATTGACCTAATAAATTACAAAAAAATCATTATAATTAAGAGACTAAACCATCAAGATCCAAAATAAGAAAAATAAATGTTTAGTACTTTCTAAGCTTCATTTATATACTCGACCAAAGCCACCCTCTCCGAGGCGACTATCGGCTCTAAAATTTTGTGTTGCTATAGCTAATTTACAAGAATTAATAGTCTAAACCAAGGTTTTGAAAACCGGACCGGACAACGAACCAGAAGAAGGAGAGGTTCACGGTTCGACCGGACGAACCGGGGTCGAACCGGATGACGTAATAAATAAAAATAAAAAAATAAATAAAAGTTAAATTTTCTAAATACATAAACATGACATCAATTACTGAAATAATGTATCTTGAAAGCATTAGAGGGATTAAGCTTAAGCAAAAGACAAGCATATACTGACTGAGATAAACAGAACACAACGACAGATCATCTGATTACTGAAATCATGTTTGCCATAGCAATCTTGATTTTAGAATGGTGCTATTAGATTATCTGTTGGGCACTCAATGCGCCAACAAAATGTGCCAATTGGATTTAGGGTTTAGAACCAAAAAAATAAAAATTCCAAGTCATGGAGGTCTACCATTTGCGATCTAGCACGAAAAAAAGAAGAGTGGAATTCAGAATTCTACTAACTGAGATAAACAATGATTTTCTTAGACTTCAAAGAAAAATAGAGAACAAGTTTAAAACCATAAAAATAAAAAAAATATCTAAAATCAAGATGTCTGCACAGGTTGAATCACGAGCAGTTTTCGGTATTTCTCAACCATTACAGCAAGCATAGATGGAGAAACATTGAAAAAATGCAAGCATATCAATATGATTTGGAGAAATGCAAGGCGGCAAGCTAATGTGTAAAAAAGTTACTCAAAAAATTAGAAATTCTAGAACCTGCGTCTGAATCGTCCGAGCTCAACGGATCGGGTAGGTGGCCAAACGTGATTTCTTCCCCAGCTTAACTGGCAAAGTCGCCGAGCAGTAAACGGTGTTCGCCGGCGGCTGTGAGGTCCGGGACGACCACTTCTGGAAGAACTGAGGTAGACGAGCCGCGAGTAGGAGTCGTTGTATGCTAGGGAAAACGAGCCGCGAGCGACTAATACCTCTTACATACCGATACCCAATGTATCTACGCCGTTCGATCGCAGATCAAGGGCTAAAATTAGAGCTTTTACGGACCGGCCGATTATTCTTATACCTCCCGGTTCGGCGGTTAACCGGTTCAACCGGATTTTGAACCGGTTATTACCCGGTTAATAAATTGCCTGGTTTCCTCCTCTTCCCGGACCGCCCGCCGGATCAGTTCGTGGTTGAACCGGTCGAACCGGCCGGTCCGGTCCGATTTTCAAAACGTTAGTCTAAACAGCTATGGGTGTCAATTTCGGGTCACAGGTCGGGTTAGGGTCGAACCCGAAACTGACCCGGTACTATTTGGGTCAACCCGAACCCGACCCGCTTCGGGTCCAGGTCAACCCGACCCGATCCGATTTTTGAAACAGATCGAATTATTGAACCCGAACCCGACCCATTTTGGGTTCGGGTCAACCCAAACCCGAAATTTTCGGGTCAGGTTTTCGGGTTGTGTCCAATATCGACATCCCTAGCAATATATTCATGACGGCTCTTTGGTACATCCTTGTCATTCTTCGCTAGCAGGCTTTGGTTCTCATCATCCAAGGAGTAATTTGATCTTGACTTCCTCGCACACCATACATAGCGAAGAAATTAAAAAAAAAAACCCAAATGTATAAAATTTAAATAAAAGAATAAAAAAGATAAGAAGTTGGAAAAGACACAACATGAATAAGAGATGAAGAAAAATATAACATAAGAATGAGAAATCATAAAATTAAATACAAATAGTTTGAGATGTAAGAGGTTAATTGCAGCCACCATTCTTTGCAGTGAGCCAAGAGTAGAGTCTGTAAAAACCTGTAGGTTTAGCTTTTGAAAGTCTCCTTCCTTGCCAACATGAAGCAAAAATAATAAAGATGGAAAGAGAAAAAATAATGCAGAGGCATGCAAATAAGAAAACCTCCAACTCATTTATCTTTTCATCCAATCTAGTCATATGGGCTTCATGAGACTTTCAAACGGTTCGTTGATGATTACATATGATCGTAACCTATAAATAAAAACTATGATGCACGGACACGACACGACACGGACACGGGACACGGCTTTTTTTGAAAATATAAGACACGTATACGGCGCGGACACGACAATACATTTTTTTATATAGTGTATATATATTAATGTAATATCATATTAAAAATGACAAATAATAATAAATGAATGACATGACAACTTGTCTAGCTTATAATATAAAATATTTAGTATAAAATATCTAGTATAACCACAAAAATATAAGCAAATAATCACTTACTACAACATCAAGCATTCAAGCTTCAACTACTAGGATTAGCTTTAGAGGTTTGTTTTTGGCCTTCAATATCATCATCATTGAATATCACTACTTTAACTCTGGTTCAACAAGAGAAAGATTTGTAATTGTGCAAAAAGAGAGGAGATGAAAATACCTTCACTGCCAAAGAGAAATGAAAATGAGAATATTCGATGAATGGGTATTAAATGCAGACGTTGATTTGGTGTTGTGGATATGAAATAAGAAATTTAGTTTAAATCTCGCCAAATATAAGAAATTATATTTTAAAAAAATTATAAAATATTTAAGATACGAGTGTCAGTGTCCGACACGCGTGTCCAATTTGTTTTTAATATTTTTTTTAATCGGACACGTTTTTGGCGTGTCTGAACACGTGTCGGGGAGTGTCGGACGAGTGTCGTGTCGGACACGGTGTCAGACACTGCACGCCTCTTTAGAGAAGTGTCGGTGCATCATAGAAAAAAAAACAGTGAGTGATATGATATCTGCAAAAATTGTGATGCACCAAAGAAGCAGCTTTTGGAGTAAAAAAATAATAGTTGAGCGCATGACAGATTTGAAAAAAAAGCTGTTGTTAAATGATGGTATTCTGACATCTAGAGCACCAGGTATGATGGAATTGTACCCAAGATCCTGTAGAGAAATTTAGTTAATGTTGCATAAATATTTAAGTAAGAGAGGAAACTTCCAGGAAGATGTTTGATCCATCATTCCATTACCAAAAAGAACAATTTCAACACCTCATGACTTACCTAAACATAAGACTAAAGAGAAGAAATATTCCACTCTTTTTAGATACAAAACATGGCAAAGTTGAGGCTAAAGCGGGAAGCTAGCGATGGAGCCAACTTCTGGCTGGACGTCATAGATGATCCAATTTGTTTGTGACAAGAAGGGTTGGAAAGGAAAGCGATGAGATGGTGCTCTAATGCGGCGTAAGCTTGACTAAGAGAGGATGTTGTCTTCAGAGTGTACATCAAGAGTGTTCTCATTGTTGACGGCAGATGGTGAACTGGGGATGAATTTAAGGAATGGGGTTAGGGCTATCTCTCCTCT